AGTTTTTGGTGTTAAGACCACCCAGAATTTCATGGTCAAAAGAGCTTTTACCCAGAGAGTATCTATTTGAGCCAGTGGGTTGTTTAAAATTGTAGTTCTTCAGATCTTACCGTTTGAGGTTTTACTTTGTCGCCACAAGAGGGGGGAAGGCATTAAATATGAAAGTAATAACTGCATTTTGAACATCTTAAACTATTCATAAAAATCCCTTGATGCTCTTCCTTGAATTACATATTCTCCATTGTAATGAGTTCCTATTTTGAAAACCTAGGAAAGGAATATTTCTTGGAGTAAAAAAATCAGTTCATTGGTTTCTTTAACAGGTGCTTAATTTCCAGAGGTTGATACAGAGGATAGGTTGTGGGAAAAAGAGGTTTATGAGATGTAAAATTAAGACTAAAGATAACACTGCCACAAAATGTAAAATATAAACCTCATGCTTTGAGACATAGGGGAGAAAAGTGGGTTTGCGAATGCTAATCCTGTGATAGGAGAGCATGCTCCAAGATTATAGGGGTCACCTGTGAGAAGTAGGGACTGAAATGGCTTCTAAGGATAGCGTGTATTCATTTATCCTCTTCCTGACACTCAGCCCACACAAATAATGGCCCTCAACAAATTCGTGTTTATTCAGAGTCATCAGAGTTAAGGAGGTCTGATTACTGGTACAACAGATTGAATTACTTAAAAGCATTTTAAATAGTTAACATTGCCTAGTGCTGCATGACTTCTGAAAATTAACTGAAAGCAAATAGAGAAATTCTAGTCTTTGCTCAAATTATTGTCTTCCTGGAAGCCTTTCCCCATCCTCATCAGTTGAAGTTTCCCTTTGCCATCACCTGTCATTAACCCTTTGCACTCCGAACCATTCTGGACATTGGCTACCAGCTACTCGACGCTACTTTGCGGCGGAAACGTGCATTTACAGACCCTCGTATTATTTAGTATAATTTTGGAACCAAGTAATGTATTATAATGATATTGGACTTATATGAATTGGGTGACCGAGGAATGTATATTTGCAAAAAAAACAATATTTTATTGTTTATAATTTTGTACAGTATGATAAGTTTTGTAACACTCCCCAATATGCATTGCAGGCTGATTAGTGCATGTTTGACAGTAATAAGTGGTTTGACGCCTGCCACCAGGTGTTTTCCTGTTAGAACACACAATGCAGTCCCATTTTCTTTGTCCCACATCGGGAATATGTAATTTATTGTTTAATCCGACACAAAACCCGCTGACATTTCTTGTATATATCTTAGTAATTTTACGATATTTTGATTTAATTTCTTGTGCCATTTCAAGATAAAACTTCAGGGAAACATGCATGTCTCAAAAAGTTGCGTTGAAATAACTCAATTCCCCGTAATCACTAATAAACTGCAATGTCCCCTGAGAGGAGACATCCGAGTGATATGCTAGAATTCCGATATCCCCTGAGAGGGGACAGCGGAGTGCAAAGGGTTAAAACAATAACAAAAAACTACTACAGCCCTTATATATAAACTAGAGGCCTGATGCACGAAATTCATGTATGGGGGCGGGGGGGGGGTGGTCCCTCAGCCCAGCCTGCACCCTCTCCCAATCCGGGACCACTGGCTCCTAACTGCTCGCCTGCCTGCCTGATCACCCCTAACCACTCGCCTGCCTGCCTGCCTAATTGCCCCTAACTGCCTCTGCCTCAGCCGCTGCACCTGGGACCCAGGCTTCCGTCCCTCTGGCTGGCCGCAGGCACCGGGACCCTGGCTGGCTTCGCCCGGGCCGGCCGCAGGCACCAGGGAGCCAGGCAGTGCCACCCGGGCCCTGGCTTTGTCAGGAAGGATGTCCGGAATGACGTCCAGTCTATCTGGTCTAATTAGTATATTACCCTTTTATTAGTATAGATATGCCCTTTATTATACATTTTTTTCATATGTGACATATCTCCTTTGGAGGTCAGAAAAATTCATCTAAATCATTGTATCTGCTACCACCTTTAGCACAGTGCCTTATACTTATTTGCTAATTCTATAAATATTCAATAAATATCCAATATTGGAGATATTATTGGATTGTAATTTATGAGCCCTTTAGGTGAATGCATTATCAACTATTTTTTACTTTTTTAATTTGAAAATGTATTTTTAGCACACATGATAATTGTGATATTTATGAAAAATTTATGTATTTAATTGTACTGACTCTCCACAGCTAACATTAGTCTGAACCAGCACTGTCTAGTAGATATACACAGTGCAAGCCACAAAGGTAATTTGAAATTTCTAGTTGCCACATTATAGAAGAAACATAGGAGGTTAATATTTTTTAGCCATTATTTCCAAAATATTATTTAACATGTAATCAAGTTTTAAAAATTGAGGTAGTTTATATTGTTTTCATGCCATCTTCAAAACCTGGTGTGTATTTTATAGGTATAACACATGTCTATTTAAACTAGCCACATTTCAAACATTCAGCAGCCAGATAATGGCTATTAGCTACTTTATTGGACACTGCAGGTTTAGAACTTCAGGGCAGCCATTAAATTCTCAGTTTCCTGTAAGGTAACTTTGACTTCACATCATTGTCATTTTAGATTATAATCTAAATAAAGCTAATTGGTTTGGCTGGTTTTTGTCATGTTCATAAATCCACAAAATAAGAAACCTTTTTGCATTAAGCATTGTATAAAGACATTTAATAGGCAGTTTCCACCCAATGTAATCTCTATAACTCATGAAGAAGGTATTTCTGTTTTAGAGTTGAGGATCCAGGAGTTAAGATAGACCAAGTTAACATTTCCTATAGAAAGTGGAGCTGGTTTTAGAACCAAGATTAATTGTGGATATCCCATATCCCCATTGGAAGTTCAGAACTTTTTAAAAAAAATATATTTTATTGATTCTTCACAGAGAGGAAGGGAGAGGGAGAGTTAGAAACATCGATGAGAGAGAAACATCGATCAGCTGCCTCCTGCACACCCCCCACTGGGGATGGGCCCGCAACCAAGGTACATGCCCCCGACTGGAATCGAACCTGCGACCCTTGAGTCTGCAGGTTACGCGCTATCCAGTGAGCCAAACCGGTTAGGGCCAAAACTTTTAATAAAAGGTTGAAAAAAAATTTCAAGGTCTGTGTATATGTTAAAGTGGATATTAGATTATAAGGTTAAAGAGAAAACACAAACTTAATACAAAACATACTGAATGTACACTGTAATTGAAAAATAAAAGTGAGATAAAAACTTTCCTAATGAAATAAAGTTTTATTTCATTAAATGATGTCTAGCAACAGGAAAAATTTTTTTTCTTGCTTCAGGTGTAGATATTAAAGAATTTCCTATGGCAGAAATTTATTTTTATTTTCTACTTTCCGAGCATAAGAGTAATATGAAAATTTAAGTTGCCTATTGTTTAGTAGTTAGCTTATTCTAATTGCCTCAGCTAAAATTATATGGGAAAGATGTTTTAGTTGATTGTTATAAAGATGTTTAATTTGAACAGAACAGATCTCAGTGAAAAGTTGCACAGCAATTTTAGAATATGCCTTTAAGAAAGCAAATTTTTAAACAGAAAAAAGACTGGCAATATAACTTCCTGGAAAAATTTAATAAAGTAATTTACCCAATCATAGAGTACTCAAGCCCACAGTAGGCACTTGATACATGTAGATTAATTCAACATACACCTTTTATTTGTACTTCAGTAAAGCCCTATGTTTATATAAACCAGGATTTATAGATGATTCAAAGACACTTAAAAAAAGCCACAAAGTGAAATTTACGTTTAGATATTTATTTCAGAACATTAAAAATCGCACTAAGCTTCCCAATGATGTTACACAGTAGTCTTTTAAATGGTTTAGTCAGAAACAACATCCTATATAATAAAAGGCTAATATGCAAATTGACTGAACTGCGGAATGACCGGTTGCTATGATGCACACTGACCACTAGGGGGCAGACGCTCAACGCAGGAGCTGCCCCCTGGTGGTCAGTGTGCTCCCATAGGGGAAGCACCACTGAGCCAGAAGCCGGGCTCATGGCTACAGCGCAGTGGCAGGAGCCTCTCCGCCTCTGGAGCAGCGCTAAGGATGTCCAACTGATTGCTTAGGCCCTCTTCCCTAAGCAGTCGGACATCCCTGGAGGGCTCCCAGACTGTGAGAAAGTACAAGCCGGGTTGAGGGACCCCCACCCCTCCAGTGCATGAATCTTATGCACCAGGCCTCTAGTGAGTATATATTTGGGATGTTAATTAAACAATAACTAATGAGGACGATCAGTGAAATGGATACTTTTTTTGTTGTTAATCCTAACCCGAAGATATTTTTTCCATTGATTTTTTTTTTTTTTTAGAGAGAATGGGAGGTGGGTGGTGGTAAGAGGAGAGAGAGGGAGAAAAACATCATGTGAAAGAGACACATAGATTGGTTGCCTCCAGCACGCACGAATTTGCAACCCTTCGGTTCGCTGGCTGAAGCTCTAACCACTGAGCACGCCGGCCAGGGCAGAAATGTATACTTTTATGTACTACTGTCGAATTCGACAATTCTGGGGAGAAATTTGACAGTATGTCTCATGTTCTTACCCTTTGATCCAGCAATTGTGTTGATATTGATCCAAAAGTATTAGAAATATGTACTGATTCGTGATCAAGGATGGTAATAATTATACTATTAATGAAATTAAATAATTACCATTAATAGAATAGTTAAAGGCACTTTCAGACGGAAAAAGAATGCATCGTTAAATATCCATGTATTCGGCATAATAACACGGGGAAATACTAATGAAACTATACATATACCACGTTTTGTTTTGTTTAAAAAAATCATTTCTGAGCACATATCTGCCCTTTGGAGGTTAAGATGATACGAAGGAGAAAGGACTGGCAGCAGGAGCGCGCCGTCTCTGGGGTTAGAAAGGCTCCAAATCCCGGCTTCGCCAAGTGTCTGATTCGAGTTCCTCTCCTCCTCAGTAATCTAGCTGTAAAATGGGAGAGAACTAGAGTACTTACATCCTGAGAGAAATGTGTAGAGGCTAAATGAAAGCGCTTAGCGCGCAGCCCAACTTTTACTTCTTACGGTGAGGTCTTCCTGTATCTCAGAGTTAGCGATGCCTCCAGTAGTTAACATTTAGTAAAGCGAAAGCCCCACGAGACTCTGCAAGGGGGCTTCAAGCTAACCTGTCAACCCGCCGCATCCAAACCCTTGGAGTTTGGGGAGGCCGCGGGGCTGTCGGCACTGATCTCCCGCCGGGGTGGCGGCCCAGTGGGTGTGCCTCTTCCGTAATCCAGGCTGGAATCACCCGCGCGCAGCTAGGACCCAAGCGTCCCTCCTCGCTCCCCCTTGGGCGTGGCGCTCAGCTCACACCTGTCCTCACCCCCGCGCTAAGCCTCCGGTGCGGACGCGGGCCTGAGCGGCGGGTGCGCGTCACAATGACTACAGCCCCAGCCGCCCCGCGAGTTCGAGGTGTCCCGCAGGCAGGGCCGGGCAGCCCCGGGGCGCTGTCGTTCCTCCCGGCGGGTCCCGGAGGCGCAGGATCCTCTCGGGAAGGGCTGCCCCCTAGTCTAGCGCGGAGGCGGAGCGGCGAGACGAAGCCATGCAACCTACAGGGCGTGACGTCCCGGGGGAAAAGGTGCTTATATCCCTATTGTCGTCGAAAGCGCACGCGCGGCGGGGGCCTGGGGCGGGGCTTGGGCTTCGGCAGCCCCGGGACAGTCCGCCGGTCGGCGGCGGTGGGAGTCGGCCGGCGGGCCGGCAGCCGGGCGGGGCGGAGGCGTGGAGGTGAATGGGGGTCGCCTCGACCTCAGTCTGTCGCACAGCTCCAGCCCCGCCGGTGGAGATGGTGCCCTGGGTGCGGACGATGGGGGAGAAGCTGAAGCAGCGGCTGCGGCTGGACGTGGGGCGCGAGATCTGCCGCCAGTACCCGCTCTTCTGCTTCCTGCTGCTCTGCCTCAGCGCCGCCTCCCTGCTCCTCAACAGGTAACGCCGCAGTGCGGAGCCAGCGCGCGGCGGCCGCTGCTCCCGAAACCGGGGCCGCAGGCCCGGGTGCTGCCGCCCGGCTGCGTAGTGAGGGACCTGGGGCGGCTGCGAGGCCTCTGGGACCGTCGCCTCGGGGAGCCCGGCCGGCGTCGGGGCCCGGAAGTGCGGGCGGGGGCTGGGCCCAAGTGCCCCTTTCCCCAGGCCTCGTCTCCTCAGCCGGCCGGTCCGATTCTTATCTTTTCACCCACTTAAAACCTGGTTCTCCATCACCGACGTTTTTCCGAGGGAGAAATCGGTAACTCGGGCCCGATGGAGACCGCGCCGGGCGGTGCAGTCAGCTGACGCGGAGGGTTCAAGGTCCGGTCGCCGGCCGCCGCCGCAGCCCCAGGCAGATTCCCGGGCTGTCACTGCGCACACAGACACAGACACACAGACAGGCACACAGAGACAGACACACAGACACACACACACACAGACACACACACACACACACACAGACACAGAGGCAGACACAGGCACACAGAGACAGACACACACAGACACAGAGGCAGACACAGGCACACAGAGACAGACACACAGACACACAGACACAGGCACACAGAGACAGACACACAGACACACACACACACAGACACACACACACACACAGACACAGAGACAGACACAGACACACACAGACAGACACACACAGACACACACACAGACACAGAGACAGACACACACACAGACACACACAGACACAGACACACAGACACAGACACACAGAGACAGCCACACATACACATACACACACACACACACACACACACACACACACAGAGACAGACACAGACACAGAGTCACAGATACAGTTCAGACTTTTAGAGACAGATCATTGTCTCACTTAGACACACACAGTCTCACAGAGAGTGACTCATTCACATACTGAGAGAGTCATACTTTTGTAGATTTTTCTTATTTATTTATACTGACACAGACTTTTACTTTGTTACACACACAGACACAGACACACACTGATTTTTTTATGGGTTGTTCATGTTTGATTTATATTTTGTTTTTTTGTGTTCGCTTTTACGGAGTCTATCTTTTTTGAGTTTTTGTTTATTTTTGTTTTTTGTTATATATTTCGTTGTGTTATTGTGGGCTGTGATGTTTATCGACTTGACGGAGTAGGTCGATATGGTGTTTTATTGTTTTTTTTTTTTTTTTTTTTTTTTTTTTTTTTTTTTTTCTTTTTTTTTTTTTTCTTATTTTTTTTTTTTTTTTGTTGTTTTTTTTTTTTTTTAT